CCACGGTGTGCACCGCTCCGCTGGGCGGATCCCACCGGCACACGCGCCCAGCACTGATGTCCACGTACATGAGCTGGCCGGTCTCTTCCTCCCACACCGGGCACTCGGCCATCTGGTGCCGCTCCTTGACCACAGCCTCAATCCTGGGGGACCCCATGCCTGCTAGAGGGGACAGGGCTGTCAGCTCCCCACAAGGAAAACAACAATAGTCATAGGAAAAGAAAGCCTCCCACAACTTCTTATCCAGGGCACTTTGTACGGGGCCATGGGGGCACCCTTGTCGCCGCCCACACGTCTAATGGACACGCCTGGGTCCCAGTAGCCACCCCCCGCCCCCCGCCCCTGCTGCGCCCTGCCGCCTCTCCCACCAGAGCTGCAGTCTCTGCAAACCACTCCTGCATTTCGTGTTGGGTGGAAGGAACAGGGTTTACTTGCAGCACATTCTGCACCAAGGATCCTGGAACCGCGGACAGGTGTGCCCAGCGCACGGCAGGTTAGGATTGGGGTGCGCAAAGACTCGCTAGGCATGCGCAGTCCCGCCAGCTTAGGGGGAGTGAAGACCCTGACAGGTGTGCGCAGCGCCGGCAGTTTAGCGGGAGTAAGGACCCAGCTAGGTGTGCAAAGTCCCGCCAGCTTAGGGGGAGCGAAGACCCCGCCAGGTGAAGCGCACCTTAGGGTTAGGGTGGCAAAGACCAAGCCTGGTATGTGTAGCCCCCGCCCTCGCCCGCTCCGCCCCCATTCTCTCTTCCTCTGGGACTTCCACCCAGCGCTGACCAGGTGAGCTCGCTTCCTGGAGTCACCTCTTCGCTGCTCACCTGTAACCACCACGCAGCGCGCACAGACGGGGTCAGCCAAGCCCTCCTCTCCCTTGCTGGTCTCGTGGGATGCCAAGTAGTCATCAGAGCCAGACTTTGACCAGCTCCTCCCTCCTCCCACCAGAGTGTCCAGGCTGAGCCTGGTGACCAAGCTGTGATCCCTGCAGCTTCCAGAACTACCCGTTCCTGGAGGACGCTGGCCTGCTGGACCTCGGGGCTCACTACCAAGAACTGCCTACTGTCCTGGGCACTCCCATTAAGACCAGTGCTCACTGAGCCTGGAGTGTCCACTACCAGGAGTGTCCAGTGCACCTCAGATGTCCACTATAGGGAGTGTCCACTACATCCTGGGTGTCCACCACGGGGTACTCACTACAAGGAGTGCCTAATGAGTATGAGGTGTCTGCGGCAAGGAGTGCCCACTGTGGGAAGTGTCCACTACATCCTGGGTGCCCATTATGGGGAGTGCTTACTACATCCTGAGTGACCCACTACCCGGAGGGTTCGTAGAGTATGAGCTGTCCACTCCGGGAAGTGTTCACTACATCCTGGGTGCCCATCACAGGAAATACCCACTGAGAACGAGATTGTCTGCTGTAAGGAGTGTCCACTACATCCTAGGTGCGCACTACAAAGAGTGCCCACTGAGTGTGAGGTGTCCATTGCAAGGAATGTCCACTATGGGGACTGTCCACTACATCGTGGGTGATCCACTACACAGAGTGTCCACAGAGTCCAAGCTGTCCACTACAAGGAGTACCCACTACATCCTGGGTGCCCACTAC